CGCAGTTCAGATATGAGATCAATGTCTCGTCTTCGCGATCCAGCGGAATACGTCTTTAAGGCAAAGCATCAGTGGGCTGGTCATATAATGAGAAGGACAGACGACAGATGTATACTAAGGACTCTGTAATGATTCCTCGCGAAGCAAAACGTCCTTGAGGGAGGCCACCGACCAGATGGGCTGACGTGTTCGTTACACGGATGGACCAGCTGAATTTGGAATGAGTAATGGATCTGGATCGCGAACGTCGCCGCCGCAATTCAATACATCGTGGATGACGCTAGCGAGAGACAGAATCGGATGGAAACAGTGCTATGGCCTGCACGATAAGAAGGTAGGCCATCTAAATAACTAATCATGTGCTTACCTCAAGTTGATTATATGAAAAAAGATGTTCAGACTAGTAAACTTCTCGTAATGTGATACGTTTCACACGCTAAAATATTCAGTGAATAGGTCAGAAAAGCAAACTTCACGTTCCACAGTTTCTCATGCATTTCATTAGTGTGTAAGTCAGACAAACTGTTCGCAAATGTAGTGATTCGTAAAATAAGAAAACGGTAAGCCAATGCGGACATGGTGATGGCGCGGCCGCCGCTGTCCTCAAGCGTCACAAGTCAGAAACGTCGTAATACCGCTATGATGACTGCAGTTGTAAATCCCTCCCTCAAGATCTGACTTCAACCGCACGACTTCGAATCAAAATCTCAAACCCTATTTATGCATCTCAAATCACTGAGATTTCCAGAAAACAAATGTTTTATGGACGCTCTCGCTCCGTGATATTCACCTATTACCAGTAAACAAAAATGTATAGAAAGACTTCCTAGGGCTAAAAATCACCAATTTCTCACCACACTTACAGCGACCAAAGATTAAGTGTAAAATGTGGCACGGTCATTTAACTCCTCTTGCCCAATTGCGCGCTCCTCTGCCAATTCGCGAACCATAGCGATAGTGATTACAAATGTAGCTCCAAAACTGCATAAATTATTCTTATTCTTTGCTGCGCTGTTCTCTTTACAACCTTTGCGATCTCATGTAACATCATATCATATCAAAATATCTCAAGTGCTGCTAGATTTAAGCTTAAGATTAACTATTGTCTTGGAGATTTTCATCACATTTTCGTATGCCAGAGCTGAAGAATTTTCCCTCTTAATTTCTTAACTCCTTTAGAATGGCTTCTCGCGGCGGTCAACGTGCTTCTGGGACTGATGGTACTGATTTTCAACATCGTCAGCGAATTGCAGCTCACTACCAAGAAAGGTGGCTCCATTTGTATACGATTTTTTGAAACTTTTCACTCTGCTTTTGAACACACATTCTATATTTTCATAGATGCAATTTTCACGAATCTGGTATTACTTGTGGGAATATGTTTGCTTTTCAGCGCTCAATACAAATTCATCTTGAAGTGGTTCTTCGTACCACATTTCCTCATCCTCATTTTTATGTGGGCAAAGGTAAGGCTTCACTAATACAGTCATTATTATTATTAATCGTTTATCTGGCTGAATGAGGCCCGAAATTTGCATAGCTTTATGATGAAGAATTCTGGTATGGTTTTCGGTTTTTGGAAAGGTTTCTCAGAAGATGCTGTAGGTTCTTCTCTGCTCAGCTGCGATCTTTTAAGCAGAATGCTTCATATGTTCAGCATATGATGTTATTATATAAAAAGCTTTCTTTTTCTTCTTCCTCCATATTGTTGCGATCGAATTTTTAGGTTGGAAGCGAGGTTCTTCGACGAGAGTTTGGTTGGCGAAGCGCTTTCTTCGAGCGACTTGATATGCCTTCTGCGTATCCTTGGGAATATGTTTGGTGTCTGTCTTTCATACCAATTATATGCGCAATGTTGTCGTTTTCTAAAAATAGGGTAATCACTTTCTAAACAATAACTTACATATGAGGTATCATCGTGTAATTCAGGTGAAACTGATAAACTACCATTACTATGGACATTTTTTATTTGGAATTCTTCCATGTATGATTGGTTTGGGAGGTCAACTACCAGAACTTCTGGATTATATGAGTGATCAAGAGCACAGTAACACTCCCACGTTTAAGGTATGTTGCGTTTATAGCAACGATTTTCATTTCAATAAGTCTTCTTTCGTCAGGGTGTTTTCCCAATGGTCATCATCTGGTACATATTCTTTGCCGTTGCACTTCAAATTCATGGCTTTGCAATGTACTTCTCATACCATCTTGCCGCTGCTTGGACGCCTGCTGTTAAGCGAGATTAGAACGACTAACTATTATGTAGATTCGATTAATCTTAACGTGACCTAGAGCAATCCGACAGCTTATTGACTACAGTTGTATTTGGCAGATCCTAGAACTAGGAACAGTGAAAGTTTGCTTCCATCATAATTTTTAGATAGTTTTTTGAAGAATTTTCACAAATGTTAGTTAGAATGCTAGGTGAATAATTTCTTTTTAATTTCACTTTCTCGCCAAAGTTTCATCAAGAAACGCTGTGATATCATTTTGACCGTATCTTCGAATTAGTGCACAAAAATAGATCGAGCAATGTATTTCAAAAGAGGCAAGTCAAATCCACAGCTGTGGTACAACATGGCCTTATATGATTTTTTAACAGTCTATCAAGCTCAAAATGATTTTAAAAAATTTTCCCATGCTACAGCTCTTTCTTCTTTTTCTGTTTTGTCATTCTTCGCTTGGAATATATTCGTTGTTGTTTTGATTCTGATATTCTCTCGTATCCCTATCTACATGAAGTAGAAGCTCATGAAATAAAGCCTTTTGTTATCATCTGATGTTTGTAGTTTTTATCGGGTGTATACTATCGCCAAAACATTCCTGAAATTCCGCCAAATTCAGGTTTTACTAGACGGTGTTTGCTATTCAGTGCTAGTAGCCAAATTTTAGCATGTGGGGTTGTACATTCGACGATCAGGATGAGGATGACAAGAGCGTCGCCGTTATGAAGAATCAATTTCTACACGAGC